GATGTACATATGGATTGTGATAACAGTTGTATGAGCCCTAATTAAACGATTAAAAAAAAAAGGGAAGGCTTTTGTCAAGATGGACTGACACAGTGGCTGCAACACTGTTCTCAAACAATTATGAGGATGGCGCAGATTCAAGGCAGTGTTTCATTCTGCTGTACTATAAATCAGAACCAACTTGACAGTACCTAACAACATTAAAATTAACTTGGTATCTGGACAAAGATGAGACTTTCAACTCCCTATAAAGAGTGACAGTCTCAGAATCCCAGAGCCAGTTCTACTCTATCCACATCATCACCTTAGTCAGAATCAACTAATGGCAGTGAGTTTTGAGTTACTGAAAGAATTAAACCATCGCTCTTTCCCTGTCCCCACCAAGCTGTGCGGGGGCAGAGGCTCTGGTGTGTTCAAGATTCGGTCCCACCCATAACCACCGCCATGGGGGAGAAAGACATTGCTGCTGGGGGTGTCATGGATGTTAACACTGCTTTACAAGAGCTGCCAAAGTCTTACACAAGCACCAAGCTCATCTTTGTGTGCTTGCATCAAACTGTGATGAGTCTGTGGATGTCCAGTGAGTGGAGGCGCTGTGTGCGAACACCACATCAACCTCATTAAGGTGGATGTCAACAAGAAACTAGGAGAGTTGGGTAGGCCTTTGCAAAACTGATAGAGAAGGAAAACCCCGGAAAGTGGTTGGTTGCAGTTGTGTGGTTGTTAAGGATTATGGCAAAGAATCTCAAGCCAAGGATGTTATTGAAGAATACTTTAAATACAAAAAATTAGCAAATAAAACTTTGCTAATTGTTAAAAAAAAAAAAAAGAATTGAACCATCAACAATTTTTCATATAAATCATTAATTTTATACTGCTCTTCAGACTTAGCCAGATTTTAATGACCAGTTTCTCACCTCTCTTTTCTCTATCATATACCATATAAAATGTTACTTTCCTCACTACCCTAACTTTGTGCTATTTCCTCCAAGATTGTACCAGCCACTAAAGCTAGTGGCAATGAAAATTGTAGAATTCTCCTAACTTCTTCAGTCTGAAGCTGTTCAAATATATACTCAACATACATTATAATTTTTAATGAATTTAATGGAGAAGTTGAGGGGGGGAATCAGTAATTAGAAAATAGGGCCTTGGTGATAGAAACAAAGCTGGAGATCACATGACAAAATTTTTCAAGACCAACATTTCTTCATCCCAAATGTTTCACAACAATATAAACAGCAACTGTACACATGGACTTATTTTATTGCATTATAATTAATCATAATGAAATGCATTATAAAGACCTACCTAAGCGAGAAAATCAGAAATGAAGTACACACTCAGCATACATTAAACTGAAAAAAATTGAAGAAAATATTCAAGCCTCAAGTTATAAAACTGAGTCTATAAGCAATATAGGGAATATAGTCACTACACCCAAAAGGACTGGTTGACATTCAACAATTTCAAAAGATAGCACATAATTGAGAACCAATAGTACTAAAGGAAAACTTCATGCTGCACTAAAGGCATTAACCAAAAAGAAGGCTAAAGAAATTGATGAAGTATTAATTCAAATATTTTACAAGCTGATGAAGCACTGGAAGCACTTATTCACCTATGCCAAAATACGTATATATTGGAGATGGCTACCTGGCCAACTGACTAAAAGAGTTCCATATTTATAGCTACTCTACAGAAAGCGACCCAATGTGGAACATGGAAATTATCAAAAAAATATAATTACTATCATATGTAAGTTAAATCTTCCTAAAGATCATTCAACATTGGCAGCAGCACATCTATAGGGAGCTGCCAGAAATTCAAGACAGATTAAATATGCACACTTAGTAAATTAGAGTAGCAGAGTAGATGAAGAATGAGGCATAAGGAGTAGAGGAAAGCTTATTAACGTGCTATATGCAGAGAAAACAACCTTGTTGCTGAAAATGATGAGGTACACTTGAAACATTTACTGATGAAACCCAAGGACCGCAAGCTAAAGTATGGATTACAACTTAATAAAAAGAAAACAAAATTCCCACAATTTGACCAATAGACATGATCATGATAAATGGAGAAAAGACTGAAGTTGTCTGGGCTTGACACAATTGATGTTATAAGAGCCCCCAATAAAATGATTATAAAGAAAAAAATTGAATTTTCAAGGATTTCATCTTTCTTGGACCTATAATCAATGTTTAAGGGATGCAGCAGTCAAGGTGGGGAGAGGGGAGATTTACTTAGAATTAGACTGCACTAGCGTAGGAATGTTTGAAGTTTGAATGGGAATGGGAATTCCTGAAGGGAAGTGTGGTAAAGTTAAATTGCTTAAATATGGCTACTCTAGCCATGTCTTTGTAACTCTCTCCAGATGACTGTTGACATCCTGCAAACAGTATGTGTGGAACACTAATAGAGGGGACTGATCAGTTTTGCCATTCCTTTGGGTTTAAGAGCCATCTCAAAGCAGAAACCATCTAGAGAGGCACCTGTGGAGCACATACAAGATCCTGTCTCAAGTGGTAGAAGCAACAGCACGGAGATCATGTAACAAAGCAAAGGAGCAGCACTAAGACACCAGTGAGGCAGAGTAGAGGAGCAGCATGAAGACCTTGAGACAAAGTAGCAGGCTTCCTGGCCCATGAATTAGGCAGAGGCCAGGAAACCTCAAGACCAAGAGGCTAAGCCTCAGAGAAATATGGCTGCGGGCTGAGAAGACGTGCAACAGGGGGCAAAAGATCTGATCCTGATTTTTAGTAGCCTGTTACCTTCCCTAACAAACTCGCAGAATCATACATAATTGTGAGTTCTGTGCAGCCATTGCAACACATTATCCAAACGGAACCTGTTGGTTGTCAGAATAGGATGAAAGGAAGATGAGGGTGTGAAGGCACGCCTGGCCTCTGCCTTGTGGCAATCAGCCCTGGGCTGGTGTGTGGACATGGATTCTCCTCCCTACTGATGCCAGAGGAGGTCAGATGATGTGCCTGCGCCCCTGGGGCCCCCCATCCCCCATGTAATGTCCTCAGCTACCACTTAAAAAAAAAACTTTAAACATAAAGTAAAAGAAATATGGAAATGAAAATGGTAGAATAGGAAAATATCTAACACAACATAAGGCAGTAATGGGAGAGGTGAGAAACAAAACAAGAAAACAGAGTAAAAGGACATACATACTGCACATACTCGTGTATAAGCCGAGTTTTTCAGCACATTTTTTTAATGCAGTTTTTGTGGTAAAATTAGGTGCCCCTCCCCCCTACTATCATAATCCCAATTCTACCTTACAAATCTGGCTAGACTAGAGGATGTACACTGGTACAGATAGCAACTGGAAACGTAGGGAATCCAGGACAGATGACTCCTTCAGGACCAGTGATGAAAGAGGCAAGGCCTGGAGGGTGAAGGGAATGCGCGGTGGAAAGGGGGAACCAATTACAAGAATCTAGGTATTGCCTCCTCCCTGGGGGAGGGACAGCAGAGAAGGTGGTGGAGGGAGATGTCGGACGGACAGTGTAACTTATGACAAAACTATAATAAGTTGTGAATTATAAAGGGTTCATGAGGGAAGGGGGGTGGGGAGGGAGGGGGAAAATGAGCAACTGATATTAAGGGCTGAGGTGGAGGGCAAATGTTTTGAGGATGAGGGCAGCAAATGTACATATGTACTTGACACAATGGCTGTATGCATGGATTGTGATGAGAATTGCATGAGCCCTAAATAAAATAATTTTTTAATAAAAAATAATAAATTAATGAATTAAAAATAAAATAAAATAATTAGGTGCCCCGGCTGATATTCGGGTTGGCTTATACACAAGTATATAGTATATAAATTCTACTTTTTAATACTACTAACTAAATTAAAAATAAATTGATCTAATGCGCAAAAAGCCAGAGGTTGACAGAATGGGTGAAAAAAACCTATGAAGGTTAAAAGAAAGAATGGATTAAAGATGTATCATGCAAGCAGTAACCCAAAGGTGGAAATAACTATACCAGCATTAGACAAAAATAGCTAAGACAATAATTGTTACTAGAAATAAAGACAAATATTTTGTAGTAACAAGACAGCTAATCCATCAAGAAAATAAAACCACTGTAATACACCACATTCATAAAAACAATGACAAAAATCGCAATGAGGTTCTCTCAATAGGTGCAGGGTATTTAAAAAAAAAACCTAACAACCATTTCTGATAAGATATCTTGAGCAAATAAGGAATAGAGTGATAATTAATTATGAGTGGTGTGGTGTCTTTAGGTCAAAGACAAACAGAGAGATAGGGAAAATAGCCATGTGAAGAAGCAAGAGGAGGTTGAGTGATCAATACCCCCAACCAATGAATGTGTAGGATCCAACATAAGCAAAGAGAGGGACGTGAGACAAATCCTTGTCTCAGAGCCCTCTGACGGAATCAATATGGCCAATACTCTGATTATGGACCGAGAGACAATGAATGTCACTTTTATTAGCCACCTAATTTGTGTCGTTTTGTAACAACAACCCTAATTAAAATAGCTGGCATACAAATGACACCTCAACCTAAGTGTTATACCAAATGATTGATCCCATGCTCACTTCGGCAACACATTCACAAGAGGATGCACCCAGCTAAGTTTGAGAAGCCCTTGCTACAAATTATCATTGGTGAGACTAACACCAAATATGGGTTTTAAAATAAAGAACTATCCACATTTTCTAGACTCTCAACCTCAAAGATGCATTTGCACCATGGAACCATCTACCGAAAAAAAGGAGAATTAATGTACTTCCGAATATACTAAGACTGCATACTCAACGGGAGCAAAAGCCTCCAACCAAAATAAACCTTTTGTCCCGCTTGCACAAAGATGAGCACGTTCTTTTGTGAAATATGAAAAGAACAGAACTGCCTGGATGCTGGAATGATTATATCCTTCCTAACAGGAACTGGGGCCTTGCCCCAGGCAGTGCCAGAGACAGCAATGGGTGGAACAAGGCCAGGACTCACCTCAAGTTCTTCGCTGTCTTTGGGCTTCTCCTCGGAAGTCTGCTTAACAAAGTCAGGGATGAGGATTTCCAATGTAGCTCGAGCTACAAAAAGAAACACCCCAAGGGTAAGAGGTTAGATGCAACCACCTTCCCAGAGCTTGCAGGGGAAGAAAGGCCAGATGCCCCACCAGGTCTCCATGAGCTGTGTACTGGCTACTGTGCAGGGCCCAGGGGGCTGTTCTCATCAGGGAGTGGGGAGAGGGATGCACAAGGTCACCATGGCTCAGAGTGGAGATAAAGTCCTTTCCACAATAGCATGCTTTAGAGTTCAAAAAAAGAGACAATAGGAGAAAAAGACCCAAGAAAGGGGGGAGTGGGGAAAGTGTTGGCAACCTAGTCACCATGTGGAGCATGTATACTGGAATGTGTGTGACTGGCCAGGGTGATCAGTTTTGGGTTAGAGGAAGCATTTGGTGGTGTGAAAAAAAATAGCTCAGCAGGACCCAGATCAGCAGCAACCCTTAGAGCAGCTCACTCCAGGTGCTAAGACCAGGGGAGTGGTGGCAGTGGTCACAGAGAAGTGATCACATCTGGGGGGGCACTATGCTGAGGGCAGGTATGTTAACAGGGCCCTGCCCACAGTATGGAGGAATGGGACACTGAGTGAAGGGAGGTGGTGTGAAGAACGATGAGGAGGGTGACAGCTCAGTGTGACCTGTACTTTTAGGCGCCAGCAAGTCACCTGAGCAAAGATGTCTGGGGAACAGCTAAGAGTCAGGGTTGGAAGGACAACTCGGGGCAAGGGGGCAGGGGGTGGGGTAGAGAAAGTCCAGCATGTGAGAAAAGCAGGCGACTGCAGGGTGGCACACTGCCTCAGCAATGTCCCGAGAACATCTCCACCCACCCACATCAAGCTCCACAAGCCTTTATACCCTTAATAATGGCAGTGCGCTGAGCTGAGGCAAAATATAAGGAGGGCAGCAGGCTTTCCTGGATTCATTGCAAGGAGCCAGCCCAGGAAACTGCACAGAGAGGGTACAAGACCATTCTCCATCTCATGTTCACAAAAGGAAAGTAACCCCAAGGAGCACTCTGATCCCAACTTTCATGGACCCCAAGACCTAGTAAGACACCAATAAAATGGACCAACTCCATGCAGAGTGCAGTGGGAGAGCTATTTTGGAAGACAACATGATCAGGCAAATGACCTCAAGAAGGGGTGTCCTGCTGCCTGTTCAATGGCCTAGTGGTGCACCCCCCGACCCAGCCTGCAATGTGGCCCACACAACAAGCCTGATGTCAGGGGAAAAATGGTTAGTGTTGGGCATAGAAGCAAAGAGAAAACACACTATCAGGAGTAATGAGTCTTAATTAGTAAATGAGCTCTACCGAGGATGATATGCTATGTTCAGCGAGTGGTCATTACCAGTTGGGACTGAAACTAAGCATTCTTCACACCACCATCCACCAGCTTTTCACTTTGCAGCAAACCCCAATTTATTTGGTTTAGAAACAAATCTTCTCTAGGACATGTGCCCAGCGCAGCCCCACTGGCTCGGAGCACGTCTCCATACAGGTGTGCCTGGGATAAGGGTAGCTGCCTGGCAGCAGAGAAGGGAGCTTCATGCTTATTTCCCAGTGCTTCTAGGAGTCTCTTCCAATAAGCATGAATTTTAAAAAAATTAACAAGCTTGATGACAACCCAAGTGAAAAGGACAGCACAAGCCCTCCTCTCACTGCTGCCGCTGAGGCCAGCCCTCCATGACCACAGGCTGCGCAGTGGCCGTGCAGCACCCGACAACACATTACCAGCTTTGTTCTTTGCGAGTTTTTTGCTGCTTGCAGTTCCAGATCCATAAGTCACCCCATCAATGGTCACCGAGGCACCAAAAGGCTCACTTGGGTTCTCTTAAAATTAAAATGATTGTTTTTAAAACACACTTGGTAAAGACATTGAGGGCGTGTACGCTGTGCCCCTCCCTCCCACACACATACACACGACACACCATCAGACACACTGAAAAGCAGGGGTCTGCTGCTGCAACTGTTGGTCCTGAGGTGTGAGTCACAGAGGTGTGGAGGCAGGGCAGAGGGCAGGGCCAGGACTGGCTCAGTAAATGACACGAGAAGGAAGCATCTGGGTCACCATAGGTAAGGACCAATGTCTTTGGCAGACAGGTAGGATCAACACAGGGCAGCTGGGACTGGTATGCATAGGACATAGTGAAGCAAAAAATGAAGGCCCAAAGGGCCTCTCTGGTTCTCACGAAGGTGGTGTGAGCTGAGATGCTCCATCCACCTGGGCCACCAGTTGAGGGAGCCAGCAGAGCAGGGAAGCCAACACAGCAGGTTTTGAGCGCCCAGTGACCGAAGCAGGGACAGAGGAAGAGTGGGGAAGGGCACTGTGTCAGACACCATGAGGAAACACATTGCTGAAGCAAGGAGCTCACCACACCATCTTCTCCCTGCATTCCCTTTACATCCCAATCCCATTCCAGCCGGACCCACAACCCACCAAGAGGTCACAAAGGGGACGATCAGGAGACAAAGTCACCACTTACCACATTCGAAGAAATTGTAAACGGGCCGGACCTTGAGGACCCGCTGCATGTACTCGTGCAGGATGCAGACCTCAGACTTCCCATTGGGGTTAATGACGAACTCTGAGACAAGAAGCAATGGCTGGGTAATGGCCTGGCAGCACACACGCTCCCGGGTCACTGAATGAGAGGCTTGTCACAACCAGTGTTGCCGAGTCTGCATTCGCGGGCTAAACACAAGCTTGGAATCCCATGTCTGTCACTCAGAAGATACTCTTGCCAGCATCCCCAGGGGGAGACTCCAGTCATGACTCACCTTTCTTGGTGGGAGCATCTTGTACAGATAAAGTGATGAGCTTCTGATTAGCCGGCAAGATGGGCCTCTCAGACTCAGCTTGCTTTCTTTTCATTTCTCGGTTGAACTGCCGCCGCTCGGCCCACGTCTTGAACTTTTTCACAGTAACTTGCTCAAAGTCAAAGCGCTTCTCCAGGTAGTCCCGAAACTCCTCAAGACCTGTCCAGGATTTACCAGTGAGCACGTGACTAATCTCCTGGGGGTAAGAGGCCACCTGGGTTTAGTCAGCTGACAAGAGCGCTGCCAGCCAAGCAGTGGTGAGCCAGCCTCAAGACAACCACTTTCCCAGTGGGTGGGAAATGGAAGAAGTATTCCTCTCATTTGGCCACATTAAGTAATGCTGACATGTCCCTGAAAAGTCACATTTTCCAGCTATCTTTTGATTGGTTGGGGGACAAAGGCAAATGAAGAAAAAAAAAATCACCCAGTCAGCCTTCAATGTCTGCCTCCCTGCCCTGGCAGCTGATACAGCTGTGCTCATGGCCAGCCTAGTGTCAGCAGGCACACCCCACTGCTGGCCTGACCAATTGCAGGTCACCCTGTGCTCTCCTCTTCAACTGCCCTGGTCATATCTGCACATGGCAACCACTCCCATTGGCCCTCTTTGCCCACAAGCTCCTGGGGCTCCTTCTCATGGTAGCTCTGATCACTGAGGCTGGTCAGGGACCCATTTCCCATGCTGCACCACTACCCACCTTCCCAGGCTTGCACTTGCCTCGCTTCTTTGCAACTTTCCTCCTGTTCCCGGCTAAGCCCCAGCCCAATAAGCAATGGATCACACTGTAGGTGGTATATGAGACGACGCTGACACAGTGACACCATCCTCAAGACAGGGAAGCTGCCAGATCGACTCTTGAGACATACTTAGGGCTACTTTTTGCTTTGTTTTCCCTGTTTTAAAGCTATAGAACAAAACCCTTCCATTGCAGCCACATAGCACAGATCAAGCAGAACTAGGTGTTCCTATACACACAAAAGCAGACCTAGAAAGACCAGGGGATGAAGAAAGGGCAGAGGTTTCTTAAAGTAAAAGGGGCACACAGAACTCCCAAGACTGGGGGTCTTTGGGCAATATAACTTTCAATCAAACAACAGATAGGTCTATAGATAGGTGAAGAAATGGTAACACCCTTGGGGTCTTAAAGGCTTGAAGGTAATCAAGCGGCCATCAAGCTCAGAAGCAACAAAGCCCACATGGAAGAAGCACACCAGTCTATGCAACCACGAGGTGTCAAAGGGATCAGGTGTAAGGCATCATCAGAACAAAAAATCTTACCATAGTGAATGATGGGGGGAGTGCGGAGTGGAGATCCAAAGCCCATTAGTAGGCCACTGGAGATCCCCTTGCAGAGGGGTCTCGGGGAGGAGATGAGCCAGTCAGGGTGCGATGTAACAACGATAAGAAACACAACTTTCCTCTAGTTCCTAAATGTTTCCTCCCCGCTCCCACTACCATGACTCGAATTCGACCCTGCAAGTCTGGCTAGACCAGAGGATGTACACTGGTACAGATAGGAACTGAAAATACAGGGAATCCAGGGCGGATGAGCCCTACAGGACCAGTGGTGTGAGTGGCGAAACAGGGAGGGTAAAGGGAGAATGGGTAGGAAAGAGGGAACCGATTACAAGGAACTATATGTGACCTCCTCCCTGGGGGGACAGACAACTGAAAAGTGGGTGAAGGGAGATGTCGGACAGTGCAAGATATGACAAAATACCAATTTATAAACTGTCAAGGGCTCATGAGGGAGGGGGGAGCGGGGAGGGAGGGGAAAAATAAGGACCTAATGTCAGGGGTTTAAGTGGAGAGAAAATGTTTTGAGAATGATGTACAAATGCGCTTTACACAATTGATGTGTGTATGGATTGGGATAACAGTTGTATGAGCCCCTAATAAAATGTTTAAAAAAAGAAAAAAGAAATGGTAACACCCAGGGGTATACAACATTCATTAGAATAGCCAATCATTCAAGAGCAAAAGGGCAGCATTTGCCCAGATATAGAGCTCAAAAGGCAGGTAGGGATAGGAATCAAGAAACACAGGATGGACGTGCTGCTATGCTGTGGGAATTGTGATGAAGCTCACAAAACACAATGTGCATGAAAAACCAATTTCCTTTGTAAACCATCACTCAAATCACAATTTTAAAAGATCACCTAAAAATGGAAGGGAAAAAATGACAACCAACAAGAATACAGAGTTGTCAGCTATTTTATGTGTATACGACACAGACTTAAAAACAAAAACACACTATTAATGAAAAGGAAAGCTCTTAGGTGCCTGGGCTGCCTTTTGCGCGCCCTGTCAGATGAGAGGGTCCTTCTGGGAGGGTGGGGTGAAGTGCTTTCTGGAGGCCAGAGTTAGTTCTTAGGGACTGCAGTTCCTATGCACTAGGGTCAGCGCAGGCAGCCCCAGCCTCTTCATTAATCCAGAAATGGATGATGCCATATAAGGAAACAGGTTGTGGGACAATCAGAGAAGGACTTTAAATTACATATATGTAAAGCCCTCCAAGATATGGAAGGAATGCAGTTTTGAGGACTAATACTCATAAAAGTGGATTTTGTTCTTGAACAGTATCCCAGTAGATTGAATGACATTTGTTGGCTTGAGGTCTAATTTTTTAATAGATTTGATAATTTTTATGTTAATGCAAATTTGCATGGAAAAGAAAATAGTAGAATGAAAACACTAGATTGAATAGTATTCAAAATTAATCTAGTGTGGCGATAGAGAAGGGGAAGTTTTGGTGCCATATTTCTCCATGGTGTTGGACTTAAATCAGTTGAAATGTATTTCTGTACCACAATTTATGCTTTAATAAAAATTTGCTTAATTAAAAAAAAAAGATATGGAAGGAGGAGGTTGCCCCCATAAAATAACAGTTTTGAAGTGGAGCCGGCTGCAACACATACCAAATTAAAAACTCATTCCCATGGAGTCTCCCAGCGACCATCGAGGACAGAGGGGAGCTGCCCCGTAGGGCGTCCAAGGCTGTCAATCTTTATAGGAAGAGACTGCCTCACCTGCTGATTAGCAGCGAGTACTCCAACCCTGGAGTCAGTGGGGATCCTTAACCCACACACAACAATGAGAAATCTGGAAGCAGGTGGCCATCTGACATTGAGATAGCAGGTGAACTCCAAGGCTTGAGAGCCCCGAAGGGAGAACTCAGACTTGAAATGGCAGATCGCACAACACAGAGCCGAATGAGATACACCCAATGAGCAACAGCGGGTCGCAACCCTGCATGTAAGGACAGGAGGCCCACTTTGCACACGAGTACCAGTCCAGCAAAAAAGAGAGGACTCAAAAGATGTGGGAGGCAGTAGGCATCTCACCCTGGAACTTACCAACGGATTCGTCTTTGCACACCTCAACTTTGGCTTTTACTTGCCCCAGGGCCCCGGGGGCAGCCTCAGCCCCCATTGGGTCCTTTTCATCAAGGGGCCCGCAGTCAGTGCCCAGGGTGTCGAGCTCCTCCTGGGGGAACTCCAGCTCAGCGATTCGGTTCAGGGGCTTGACAGGCAACACCTCCACACTCCCACTGGGGTTGAGGTCACTGCTTTGCTCCCGTTCCTCGTTGTCCTTCATCTTCTTGTAATGCAGACAGGGAATGCTGCTCAGAGGAGGGTCATGTTTCTGAGGACAAAGAGAGCACTCGGAGGTTACTGGGACAAGCTACTGTTCACTCACTGCCTTTCACATCTCTCTCTTTCTGCGTGAAGACAAGGCCCATGCAGACAGGCATGCTCCCACTGGAAGACAGACAGAATTCAATTCATGACTTCAGCTTCCCCTACCCGTATGCTTCCCGTTCCCAAGAAGTATGGCCTGGACCAGGTGACCACCCGAGACTCTCTGTGCAGGTACACGGGGACTCCAGAGTTATGGAATGTCATGATCCACCCATCAGGCAATGGTTCTGTAGGGGGACGGCCACGACCTATAGAGAAGACAAGAACTTCTTCAAAGAACTTCCAAAATATTTTCTTCAGATACAAGATGGCTTACAAGAGAATGCATAACAAATAAAATCAGAAAACACAACTGAGGCCTGCAAAATCCCCCCACAAAGTGGGAGAATACTGTCCACCCATACCACCCAGCCCCTAATTGGGCTTTGTCTGCCCCCTCATAAGGCCTAAATTTTATGACAGTGCACCCCTCTGCATGGCCCCTGCTCTGGGTCCACTGCCCAGACCAGTGTACATGACAGGGGCTAGGGATAGATTTGCTGACTCGCATATGAAAGCTCCCTGTGGCCTTAGCTCCCTAACTAGCACCGTGGGCAAGAGATCTGTCATCCTCACCTAAGAGCAATTATACTTCCTTTACTGACAGGTAACACCTAAGAGCAATTATACTTCCTTTACTGACAGGTAACCCATCCATCAACCATTGATCCCACTGGACAAGCTGTGAGCAGAGTGGAGCCTGTCACTTCGTGCACACAAACACTACTTCCAATTAGGAACTCTTCATTAGAAGGTCCTGGATAAAGTGGGAAAAGAATATGGTATAAAACCCAAAACCAAAATGCCAGACTTCCTGGTCAGATGAGAGATGGTTGAAGACCTGAGACTAGAGGCCTTAGCTACCCTTCAGGTCTGGAAATGAGTTCACTCCCCTGTTCGATTTTCACCCAAAGGGCAGCAAAGGTCTAGAAGATGAACAATTACACTGAGGGGCACACTCCCTTGAATCATCAGCCTTGGGAAATCCAAAGGGCATCATTAACCCCAGGACAAATTTGAAAAGGATTAGGAGAGGAAGAGGAATGGACACAGGAAACATGAGGAGGAAGTGGGATGAGGGATGTCAGGTCTCGGGCGTGGCCTTGAGTGACATGAAACAAAATACATCTGAATTGCTGAACAAAAACCTGATCAGCTCTGTAAACCTCCACCCAATTCCCAATCAGAACATTTTGCTTCAACTAATAAACATGGAAGTTGGGTTTTCAGCCACTCCTTCACTGCCTGTTCTCTTCTTTGGCAGATTCCCGACTTTCACAGACAAGCCACAAAACGATGTTTTAGTTGCATGACACCCCATCAGACCTGGCTGCTGGGGTGTAGCACCATGCAAGAAATGAACGAAACCCAGTTTTCTTCCTGGCACTGGGAGCAAATTCCCAATTTGGAAACAAAAGATAAAAAGGAAATAAATGATACATCCCCTAAAAAGTGTCAGTGACCCACAGAAAAGTACTAGGACCTCCCAGCCATCTCCATTCAGTGGGCCTGGTCACTGGCCTGCCCTGCACACAGGCATTCTGAGGAAAGCAGCCGAGCCAGACCATCACCACCAGCTTCCTAGAGCCTGAACTGCACAGCCACTCTGTTCCTTTGGATTTGGGCCAAGACAGCACACTGCCTCGTGCATCGCTGCACTTGGAGGAACAAATGCACTCTGAGGGCCAACACCAAACAGGAGCACAGCTTCCCATCAGGCCTCTCGTGTGTTCTGAAAGGAACAGTCAAGTGTGAGGGGCCTGGGCACCTGCCTACTGTCTGCCAAGAAGAGGTCCCCAGGAAGGCCCACTGCTAGGTGCAGCCCAAGAACAGGAGCTCCAGGGGGCCAGAAAGGCTGCCGGGGACAATCAGCCACAAGAGATCACTGTCACTATGATGCATCCCCTTCCTAAGCCCTCTCCAGAGGCCAACAAGCCCAGCACAGTCCTGCTAACACAGCTTGCCACCTGACAGAAATGCTTGCCACCTGAATTATTGACACCTCCACTCAGTGAGTTAGGGCTCCACCCAGTACCTTTCCTACCTCCTGCTTCATCAGCTTCAGTCCAGGGTTGCACCTGTGGCTCTCTTTGGCCCCACTCTCCACCACAACGTGGGCAGCACCTCAATTCTTCCCCATAGGTTCCTAAACTCATTTGGTCTACTGCCCCCTTTGCCAAAAAAAAAAAAAGTATTCAGCACCGCACCTGAGTCCCTAATAATTAACACCTCAGGAGAAAGTATAGGTATATGTTTTGCAGGTCCCCTGGATTGCTTAAGCACCCTTGCCACCAGGGCATGGTATTGCCCACTTTGAGAAACACTGACATAAGGCCACAACTGAAATAACCCTATGCACCTCCCAATTTCACTCACTGCTGTCTCCAAACCCAAACTGATCGCAGATCCCTCCCCTGTATCTTCTCTGAACATGACCACTCCTGCAGGAGGGCCCAGTGCCTTCCAGAAGTCTAGACACAAGAGTGACCGTTTCCAAGTCCGCTTCTAGTGGTTTCCCAAAATGCCCCAGTGGTACAGTGGCTAAGCACTCAGCTGCCCAACAGAAGGTAAGCTAACCACGCTGACCACCCGAGAGCAGACCTGCGCCCATGCACACAATGACCTTGGATGACCTCCGGAGCTGTCCTCCATGTGACTTACTCTCAGAGTCGCTACTGGCACACACCAACAAGAGTGAATGCTCCCCACACTGAATACAACCCAAGGCCTGAGCAGAACCTGCAGATCCTGCCACCGCCACAGACCCAGGCCTCTGTCTCGACTCTCTTGTTATCCCTTTTTTTCTTTCCCTGGGCTAAGCACCAGTGCACCAACCCAGGGACCCTTAGAAGCTTGCCCCCACCTGTCAAATTGCCACTCACCCTGTGGTGTCCACCTGGCATGCTAGGCGTCTTAGGGCTCCCTGGGGTCCTGTCCCTTGCCCCTTCATCAGGAGTCTCTGCTGCTCTCAACCTCTTACTCACTGCCTCGCCCCAAGGCTCAAAAAGACACCAGTGAACATCGGTGGCTCCAGGGATGCTGCTTCCTGGTAACTGACTTACTTTTGAGCACAGTTTTTATCTTGGTCATCATTGGCTGCACACTGGTCTCGCCATCGGATGGATGGTCACTGTCCCCTCCGTATTTGTCCTCCAGGCGCCTCTTTTTGGGTGCACTCAGGCCCTCCTCCAGCAGAGCATCCACATCATTGTCAAAATCATCCTGCAAAACAAGCTGTTAAGATACCATGACCACAGGGCCATGACTTCCAGGGTGGAGGCAGGACTTCCTGTGCCACAGGAAAGGCTGGCAGTTACTGAGGCTGGCCCCAGAAGAGGGGGTGCTCTCAGAGGTGGGGGGAGGGGGGTGCGCACACCTGAGTGTGCCTTTATGATACATAAGCATCTGAAAGGCAAACAGAATAAAACCACCAGCTAGAGCCACCACACCCACCCACCTCTGGGCCACAGCCCCCATCCTGCAGTTCTCAGCAATTTCCAGCCCAGGTCTGGGAAGGGTGGTCCAAAGCCAGCTTAGTAGCCCCAGGGCTCCAGATCCCTCTTTTAGATGTGGGCTCCTTGAACCTTCCTCACCCACCTTAATGTTAGCCCACCTCAGACCTTTGGGGCTTTGTGTTTTTTGTTTTTGCTTCTCTGCAACACCAGATTTTGACAGATGCCACGCCTCCCAAACACCTTTCTCTGAGTGTGTGTGTGTGTGTGTGTGTGTGTATGTGCCAAAAGCCCTTAAGAGTGCATCACCGACATACCTCGTAGGAGAAATTCAAGGCCTCTTCGTCCACTCTGTCTCTCTGAACGATTGCTTTAGCCGTGAACCCGCCTGTGCCTTCTTCATCTAGCTCCAAATTGTCAGTAAAATCTTCTAACTCATCGAGCACTGCATACTCCACTCTCTTTTCCTGTTCCAGCTCATTCTCCTCATCCTTCTGCTCAGCGCTCTCCCCCCCTAGGCCTACCCCGTTACCAACACTCCTGCCAAAGGGACAAGCATGCATGTCTCCACCAACAGGGCTAAGAAGCAAGGTGCTCTCAGCCCGCAGGCCACGCTCCGCTCCTGTGTACAGCACCTTCCTGTCCTTACTCCTGCAGCTCTCGGTAAAGCTCACACTAATCTTTACATCCTTAAGCAACTTAAGGTCGGGGGAGAACTTCCGGACCGCAGGTGCATGCCGGGCAGTGCGCGGGCTGTGGTCACTACAGTTCGGGTCTATGAGCAGGCGGCCCTTAGAGAAGGCTCCTTTGGAGAGAAGAGATGGTCCGTAGAAGTTGAAGGGATCCTCAGCAGGGGGTTCGGCCTGCCCATCACCACCAGAGCCAACGTCCATTACCTCTGCATCACTGGACGTTTGCAGGGGAGGTGGTGGAGACTGTTCACAGGGCAGTGCTGGGAAAGGGCACACTCGGCTCTCCATCATTGCTTCTCCTGCGGCCTCACATGGGACAGGAGAGGGACTCTCACATGTCTCCATGTTAAATGCAGTAAGGCTACTGTGAAAATCAGAGTTTTAGGAACCCTTACATAAAGCTACCAGCTGGCTAACATGCACAAGTCCGCCGAGACCCGGGTGCTGGCCGTCCTGCCCGCGCTGCACACGCTGGCGGCTTAGTCAAGCTGGCCACATTGCTCTTTTCATTAATGTAGACAGCTTTTAGAACCACTGCCTCAATTATTGGAAATCACAATGCACTCAGCTTAAATGACTGGCGACTACGTGAGTCTGTCTCTTCATGCCAAAGTGGCGCCTGTCTTCTTCCCCCTGCAAAGAAATTCAAAAACATGGTCACAAAATGACAGGAGCTGGCCCCCCCTGTCTAGCATGCAGTCAGTCAGGTGCTATAAACCGATGACTTCAAAGAATGCAGCCTAAGAGAGTCTTTGAGGAATCAAACCAGGTAACTGTTCTTTACTTCTTCTCATCATTGAAGTTTTAAGTTAAAACAAAGCTCAATCCCTTTGGACCCTTCCTTTGGGAGCACACACACTATAATTTTATAACTCAAACAGAATTGTAACAATTACATTACACCTCACTCCAGCATTCCCCTGCCTCTGGTCACCAGTTAAGTACACATGTGTAAGGCTGCCCTTTCCAGAGCACACACAAAATACATGGTTTTCCTTGGACCAATGAGCAACAACAATCCACTCACCTGCTCAGGCTAGCCCAATCAGAGGGCAAGCGTGGTACCCCCAGGCTCAGCTCTGTGGCACTAGAGGCCTAAGAGGTGCTGGCAGGTGCTCTGCTCCCAATGGGAACCCAGGCTCTCCTGGGTCTACCAGGTGGTGGCCCATGGATGAGGGACAGATGCAGGACGCTGAGGTTACCAAAAGTGATGACACAGTTTGGTTGCTAGGAGAAGAGGAGGGTGGAGGTTTGTGGGGAGCTTGTGGGTGAAGTCAAAGGAGGCAACTGGAGCAGAGGCAGAGAGCATCCTGGGCATCAAATGAAGCGTGGCTCCATCCTGGGACGAGGGGCCGCTGATGGGGAATCAATGCCGGAGCCACAATGAAGTCCTTGTTAAAGAGAGGGTGGGCGGATAGGGCACAGTCCTCCAGAGAGGCCCAAGCAAGAGACTAGAGAAGAGACAGAAAGTCCAAAAGTGCTGACAATACAGAACTGAGCACACTTGCTGACCAATGGCAGCTGGGGGAGAGAAAAGAATATGGCTTTGGAAGGATGTGTCTTCCTAGCTAGACATAGATGTTCCAACATCAAGGTGAAACAGCGATAGCAGATAGCTACACCCACCCCTACCCCTCAGCCAGGCCTGTCCACCTGGGGCTCAGACCACAGCTCCACAGCTGGGTCCCCAGAATGTGTCAGCCAGGGCGGTGGTCACCAAGATCCTAGGAGGGAGGCCACCCAGAAAGGGGGAACACAGACCAGGGAGACAGTTGAAGACAAACCCTAGGTAGCGGCGCCATAGAGCAGCATGGGAAAAGATGTCACAAGACTGAGAAAACAGGTCAAAGATGGGCAGCCAGAAACCCCAAAGGAAGCTGCTCAGGGCTGAGGGAAGATGGACCCACAGGCACACTCCCCTCTGGGAATAAACAGGATAGAATGGATGAAACACGCTTCAGAAGCTTACAGGGAGGACCAAAGCACAGTCTGAAGAGAACCTGACGTAAAAACAAATCTTCTCCGAATTTCCACTACGAAGGGAGGCACTAACACGAGCCAGTCTCTCCCACCTGCTGGACACAGTTGCAAGCACAACAAAGTGCCATTCCATTTTCTTGATGCTAAAATGTTTTCACATTCCTAAATATGACCTAAATTTAGTGCAGTACCCACCCAAAGGGAGTCCTGGTGATTCAGCCATGAAGGTGTTCGAAGCCCCCAGTCGTTCGGCAGATGAAACATGAAGCAATCTGCTTCTATACAGACTGACAGCCTGGCAAACCCTATGGGACAGCTCTGCTAAGTCCTCTAGGGTTGCTGAGTCGGAATGCAGTGACGATGGGTTTGTAAGGTTTACTTTTTTAATTCATCCTCCGTACCCACCCAAGCTTATACACCAAGGATGAAGCTTAAAATCAAGGAAGTGGGGCACCTCAGTCCTGGGCTGCAGTAGGTGCTTACAAGGTTGTAGTTAAGCAGGCACAGGGAAGGGAAGTGGAGCAAGGCTGGCATCCTGGCAACAAGAGCATTTCCAGGGAGAATGAGTGGTCAGCATGCCCAGTGTTACAGAACACAAGGGAGACCAGGGCCAAGGGCTCCTCAGAGGGCTCGGCAGCTGGCAGGTTTGCAGATAGCGAGGAAGGGTGACCCACCCGTAAGCCAGGACTGAGAGAGCAGAGAAGGCAACCAAGGAGAAGATTCAATTAAGTGGAAGAACTGGAGGCAAACGGTGGTAAAAGAAGAGGAAGCCTGGGACCAAGGTAGCTAGAAGTGAATGGCTGTGAGTGGAGGCAGTCTCCCTCAGGATGGGGCAGGGCAAGGCCACCCAGCCAGAGGGGCAGGTTCAAAGTCTAGTAGCAAAATACCCTTGGACAAATTCTTGCCTTTTTCCTTGGCTCAGTCAATTCAACTAATGGATCTTGCAGGCCTTCCCATGTGGCACACACCATTCTAGGTGTTGAAGTCACAAAGTCCTCACCCTCACCGAGGTTTGATTGGAAGAAAGGAACAGCGATGAAGAGAAGCATGATTCCAATACTAGGTGTGCACCCGAGGGATCTCACAGAAATGGCATGAACAGGCTCAGGCAGGAGAGCACACCCTCATCACACCTCAGCTCACCAAAGCACCCCTCAGTGGCCAAAAGATGGATACGACCTAAGGGCCCATCAACACATGAATGGCTAAGTATACCGTAGGGTATACTCCATGGCAAAGAAAAGAGGGCTCCGGATCCAACTCGGCTCAAGGATGAACCTGAAGGAGACTCTGTTGAGAGAAATAAGTCTCTTTCTCCCTCCCTCCATCCACCCCCACACATTCCAAGTATTGAGTGTTCTCACTTTTATGAAATAAGTCAATTTCACACACAAAACACACATACAATCTAAGTACTGTGCACTCTCATTTTCAAGAAATAACACCAACAGGTAACTAAATATACTGGCAGAAGTGTGTTTCACTCTCTAACTAGTAGACACTGACAATGGGGAAGGTTCACACCGGGAGGGTACCAAGTGCAACAGTGATGTCGCTGAAGTAATATCAGGAAAAAGGGCCTGTGGGGAGCTGCTACAGCACAGCCAGGGAAACCTCTGAGAACAGGAACAGGGGAGGAGGGACCTGTTTTTCCAGGTCTTGTGAGTTTCCCACCTGTGATGGGGTGCAGCCTTGCCACTCTTCGTTCACTTGTTTTACTGGAAAAATTTTATGAATTCTCCGGCAAATTTTGACAGATTTTGAAATAAAATACAATCACCAGCAAAATATGTATGTGTGAGTGGGTGTCTCATAATGTGCCTATGTATGTGAATATATTATACACATGTATGCATTATGTGTCTGGGTTAAGTACAGCACATAGAGACCTAGTCACGGCTACTTCTCAGACACACCTGAACACTGTACAGGATTGCATTTCTGGGTTTGAAAGATTAGGACTAAATTTCATGGGCCATTCAGTCAATTGGTGAGTAGTGGCTGGGGTCTTAAAAGCTTGTGAGAGCCACCATAGACTCAACTACTGGTTTCTTCATCTGGAGCAAAAGAGAAAAGAAAACCATACACTAAAAAGAAACTAGTCCACAGAATAGTCTACTTGAACTACAGCCTCATCTACCCAGAGACTGGAAGAACTAGATGTGCCCGATCATTCTAATCAGAGCCACAATAAAAGGAGGTTGAAAGATGGGGAGGAAAATGTAGAAAGAACAGAAGCTGGGGGACGAGGAACACACACACACACACACACACACACACACACACACACGCACGCACGCATGCGCGCGACACTTACTGGATTGGTTGAGGCTGCAGAAATCTAGGAGCCTATAGCCCTGGGATCTCTTAAAGTTTGTATCAAAATTTAACCCTGGGCCACATCGTAACAAAGTAACAGATCAGCTGTCAAATTAACAAACATCACACGAAGTACTGAGCTCCTTTACATAAACACACACACACACACCTATTTGAGATTTTAGAGGAAGATGGGCAAGGAGCCCAGTGAAGAAAATGGGAACCCGCAGCTGGAAGGAATGAGAACAGTCCCTACACTGTGACCAGCATCACTGAACAATCTTTGCAGACACCGGTGAACAAGACACAGAACTGTTGTGTAAACCTACACGAAAATACACTAAGATGTAATTTTCAAAAAAGCCACTCAGACTGTCATATGCTGAAAAGCAAAATAGTGAGAAGAAAATGGGGGTCTCCGACTTCAGAAAGAGTGGGCAGGGCGGCCTCAACCTCTGAAAGCCAAGAAGTGAGTCACAGTGAACCTGAGGTGGGAAGGAGAGCAAGAGCAAAGGCTGACCCTCAGTCTTAAGAGGCATCAATGGAAGCCTGGTGGCAGAGTGAGGGCTCTGCTGCTCCTGGAAAGGTCATCAGTTCAAACCCACCTGCCCCTCCACAGGAGAGACAAAATGAGATCATCTGTTTCAGTAAAGATGGGAAGCCTTGAAAAACCCTGTGGAGACAGTTCTAGTCTGTCCCACTGGGTCCCTAAAAAAAAAAAAATCGGCTAAATGGTGATCGGTGGATTTGGGTTTGAATGGGCCTCAAATAACACGTGGAACTGTGGAAGAGGCAGCTGGAATTCCCACCCAGCTAGATAGGGGTGTCCACAGTACAGGGAGGGTACAATCAGTTATAGAGAGGACTCTTAACCACCCCAGGACATGGGCCTGGCCTGAAGAGAGCCAAACGTTGGCTTTCCCACTCTTCAGCCTCTCGGCTGCTTCAGCTTATTGAACACGATGCAAGCCTCACCTGGCCTGGCCAAAGGGCTGTGAATGGGCAGCAGGCCCACTGGACCCAAGACCCAAGTTGAGACCAAATGGCTCAGCCTTTCTTGGAATCCTTGTGCTGGGCTGGCAGATCCCGGCTGTGGCTGGCTGGCTGCATGTGGTCAGCCTCTCCTGCTGCAGCCTCCAGCCTACCCTGGCAGCATGACCTCATTGATCCTTGTCATCCTCCACTGGGTCTCCTAGCCCAGACGCCCAGCAGGATCGGTGGCCAGGGAAGGAAGGTCCACGGCCCTCGTTCAACCTGCCCGGGGCATGAGGTGGGGTGCGGTGGGGTACCAAGGAACATGCAGGCATGCAGTTGGCCAGGCGGTGGGTCCCGCACATTGGCCACCCGGATCCTGAGCGTCACTCTCAACAGGTGGCTACCTCCCAAGGTTTTGGCAAGATTTTCCCTCCAAGCCAACTGTCCCACTGGAAGCCCACCCCGGTGATCTACATGCCAAGTCGATAGCATTCAAGGGAGCATCCAGGGGGTACAATGGACTTAGGAAGGGGCTTCTCGGCTGTCCCAAACGGCCTCGAGCCTCAGGCGTGGCCAAGGCTACTTTCCCGCCCGGGAAGCAAGGCCCGCGAGACTCGGCCCCCGACTCCCCGCCCAGCGCCTTGGCCGCCATGTTGCCTGGCAAAGGCTAGGACTTCGCGTCGCTCGTCCGCCTTGCGCTCCACCCCATCCTGTCTCGTCCCGTCCCGTCCCGCTGGGCGGCAAGCGCCCGCCATGGAAAAAGGGCGCGCCTCGGGAAGGCCGCGGCGTCCGCCCGCCCAGCCCGCGGGGCGCCCTTCGCGCCCCGCACCTACCTCAGGCGCCTTCGGCCTGCCGGAGCCCGCCCGCGGCAACAGGGAGACCCTCAGAGCACGAACGCTGCCGCCTCCACCAGCGAGGAGGCGCCTTTCCGACACCCTTTCTCCGGTCGACGGACCCCGTCTGCTGCCGCGCCGGGCGAACGGAGGGCGGGCCTTCACAGCGCGCAGCCAATCCCGACACGCCATCGCCCCGATTTGGGGAAGTTGCGGAGCGGGCTTCAGAGTCCACCAATCGACTATTCGTATCGGTCGCAGACTCGGCACATTAGCCAATCGCACGGCTGCATGGGCGGGACCAGGCTCTAGGGCTGCGGCTGCGCTAACGGTCGCCGACGGAGGTGGAGGTGGGGGTGGGGATGGGGCCTGACGGGAGGAGGGCGGTGGCCGCCAGGAACGCTGGGAACAGGAGTGCGCGGGGAGCCCGTGGAACTCCGGGAATGGGGAGCGCGAAGGGTACAGTGAACTGTGAAGCGCGGGAGCTGTCCCGATCTTGCTCACACTTAGGCGCTAGACAGCGTGGGTTTGTTAAGCATAATCATTGAAAAGATATATAAGTAAATGGAGAAGGGTGATTTCTTCCTTAATTATAAGTGCAAAAAAGAATGTAATTTGAATAGGAAAAACTATTTGGTGGGCACGTCAAACTTGGTAAAGTGGAGAGGCAGCGAAACTAACTGGCATTGTGGAGAAATCAGTTCTTGCTGCATTTTTGTTTTGTTTTGTTAATAAGTTCCATGAACTCCTCTTGTGCTGTCTGAGGACATCTTCAACTTTGACTGGGAATGGGCTTCTGGCAAGTGCAAATGGGTGTCAGGTAGATTTGGAAAGTACGATG